CCCCTCGGGGGTGGCTCGCCGTCGGGAACGGGAGGAGTTTTTTCGGGTGGGGCTTCTCCCTTTCCTGCGTCATGATACGCGGAGTATGGTTTTTGGTGGTGATTTTAACTGTGTGACGAGTGCGCGGGACTGTAGTAGCGCCCGCCCGCAGAATGTCTCGGGTGCGCTGCTGGAGGTGGTGCGTTCTTGCGGTTTCAAGGATGCTGCTGTGCTCTATGGGGGCGAGTTGTCCTTTACTTTTGCTGCGCATGGGGCGCGTTCGCGGATTGATCGCGTGTATGTTACTGGCGGGGGGTGTTCTGTGTTTGCTTTCCACACTGTCCCGGTTGCTTTCTCGGACCATAGTCTCGTGGTGGTCCGGGTTGGTGTGCCCAGTCAGGTACGGGTCGGCGCGGGGTGGTGGAAGCTGAATTGTGGGTTGTTGCGTTCTCCGAGGGTTTGTGGGCAGTTTCGGGTTTGGTGGGTCGGGGTTCTCGCCCGGCGGTGTGATTTTCCTTCTGTTTTAGATTGGTGGGAGTGGTGTAAGGAGCAATGTCGGTTGTTTTTTCGGGTGGCTGCCAAACGTGAGGCTGCTGGAAGGTTTGGGTTGCTGCGGTTGTTCCAGGCGAGGCTTTCGCGGTTGTATGTGCGGTACAATGCTGGGATTGACTGTTTTGGGGAGATTGCGGAGTGTAAGGAGCGTATTTGTGGTTTGCGGAATGAGTGGGCCGAGGGTGTTCGTGTGCGTGCTCGTGTGAGTGAACGTGTTGACGGGGAACGGCTCTCTCCTTATCTTTTAGGGAAGGTGAAGGCTGCGCGGGACAGTGTTCTTTTTACGGCTCTGCAAAGGCCGGATGGGTCTGTTGTTTCGGACACCGGTGGTGTGTTGCATTATGTGCGGCAAGAGTTGGTTGCGCTCTATGGGGAGGTGGTAGGGGACGACGCGATTGCGGAAGGTTTTTTGGGTGGTTGTGCTCCGGGGTTGTCTGCTGCTGATTGTGTTGGTTTGGAGGAAGATGTTTCGTTGGGGGAGCTTTTCGGTGTGGTGAGGTCATTTCGTTCCGGGAAGGTGCCGGGCTCGGATGGTCTTCCTGTCGAGTTTTATGTTGCCTTTTGGGATGTGTTGGGTGATGTTCTTTTGGAGGTGGTCCGGACTTGCCTCCGGGGGTGCGTTCTGCCTGTATCTCAGTGCGTTGGGATTGTGCGGCTGCTCCCGAAGCCGGGCGATTTGCGGTTCTTCTCGAACTGGAGACCCATTACTTTGTTGAATGTGGACTATAAGATCCTGTCCAAGATTTTAGCTGGTCGGTGTCGCCGTGTGGTTGCGTCTGTGGTTTCCGTGGAACAGTTTTGTGGTGTTCCAGGTCGCTCGTTACTGCAGTGCAATGCGTTATTTCGGGATGTGCTTCTGTACGTGTCGGGCTCTCGCTTGTCTGCAGCGATGCTTTGCCTGGATTGGTCTAAGGCTTTTGACCGTGTTTCGTTAGCTTTTGTTTTTCGTGTGTTAGAGAGGCTTGGTTTTCCGCCTTTGTTTGTTCATTGGGTGCGTATGTTGTACGCTCAGTGTTGCAGTCGGGTTTGCATCAATGGGTTCTTGAGTGCTCCTTTCCCTGTCCGCCGTTCGGTGAGGCAGGGTTGTCCGCTTTCCATGCTCCTTTATGTGCTTTTTCAGGAGCCTTTTTTTCGGGCGGTCAAGGCTTGTGCGTTGATCCGTCCCCCCCGGCTGCCTTCTGATCTTCGGTTACCCATCTGCGGTTATGCGGATGATACCATCCTGTTCGTGGCCTCTGCTGGTTCTGTTCGGGCTGTCCAGGTCGTGGTTGAGAGGTTTGAGTTGGCCACTGGGGCCCAGGTCAATCGTGCCAAATCTGGTCTTATGGGAATCGGTGGGTGGTCCTCTCGCCTTGTGTGGGAGGGGTCTTGGTTTCCGGTGGTCTCCTCTCTGCGAGTTCTGGGGATCACCTGGTTCGCTTCTTACGAGAGATCTTTGGAATTTAATTGGGGTGCGGTTTCTCGTAGTGTTGGTGTTGCGGTTGGGTTGTTGGCTGCGCGCCCGTTACCAATTTATCAGCGGGCGTTGCTTGTTACTTGTAAAGTTCTGTCACGTGTCTGGTTCGTGGCTCGGTGTTTCCCCCTAGATCGCCGGCTGGCTCTGGGGTTGGAACGTCAGGTTTATAGGTACGTGTGGTGTGGTCGTTACCACCCGGTTCGTCGCTCGACGTTGGTGTTAGCGGTGCGGGAAGGTGGGGTTGGTATTCCTGATGTGTTTACCAGGGCTCGGGCGCTGTTCTGGGTCTCGTTGCGTCAGGGTTTAGCGTTGGGTGGGGGGCTCAATGCTTTGTGTATTTTTTATTGTTCGGTCCGGTTTAGTTTTTTGGTGGATTGCGGTGTTTGTCGGGAGGTGGCCTTTTGTACCCCTCCTGTTTACTCCTGGGCGGTAGACATTCTTCGGGCTGTCTGTCGTTGTCCGGGTTATATGTCTCTCTCAGTGAAGGCGATTTATGGGGTTCTATTTTGTCGTGTTCAGCCGCGGGTGGAGTCTTTATTCCCGTGTTGGGATTGGGGGGAGGTGTGGGCGGCGTTAGGGGCGCGGTTTTTGGCGCCGCAGCAGCGGGAGTTGTTGTTTCGCATGTTGCATTTGTCGTTGGCGACAAATGACCGGTTGTGCATGCTGGGTTTGCGTGCCTCTGACGCATGTGTCCACTGTGGTTTGCCTGAAACTCAGTTACATGTTTTCTATTTTTGTGAGAGGCTGAGTGGTTTGCTTGCTTGGTTTCGTGCTGTGTTGGCCGTGGTTTGTGGGCCGGGATGTCGGGGTGGTTTTTTGCCGTTTTTGTTTTTGTCTTTTCCGCGGGGCTCTCGACGGGTGCATAATACGCTCTGTCTTCTTGTCGCTGACTATGTGTATTGTGTGTGGGTTGGCCGGAGGGAGGGTTATGGGGTTGATAGGGTTTTGGGGTTTTTGAGAGGGCGCTTACGGTTCACCTGGTGGTGGCTGCAGCGTGCTTTTCCGGATGATTTTTGTGGTTGGTTTACTGGTGCGTATGTTCGTGGGGCTGCTTTTGAGTGATTGGTCGTGGGTTGGGCTCGTGGATGTTGGCTGTGGGTTGGTTGGGTGGGTCTTGTTCCGGTTTGTTTTCGGTCCCCGGTCCTCCGATGGGCCTCCTCGGCGGGGGTTGGGCGGGGTGTGTGTGTGTGTGTGTGGTTGTTTTGTTCTGTTGTGGTTGCTCCTGTGGGTGTGTGTTTCGTTTGGGTGTGCTTGTGTGTGGGTGTGGTTTTTATGTTTTCCCTGGCTCCTGCGTGGGCCTTTTTGTTTGCCTTGTATGGGTTTTATGTTTTGTGCATTTTTGTTCTTTATGGTATGTATGCTTATGTGCTCCTCTGTCTTTGGAGCGTGCCTCTTCTGTCTTTTGTGATTTTCTGTGTGGGGGGGTTGGGGTGCCCGGGTTATGTTTTGTCCTCCCCCCCCCCCCTTTTCATGTACTACTGTTCCTGTGTTATGAGTGTTTTTTTGCCATTACTGATTGTTATTTCTCTTTTTATGTGCCATGTACTTTGCCTTGTGCTATTTATGTATTATTTATCTGTTCTTTCTTGATTTGTGTTTTGTGTTCTGCCTTTGTATTATGTCTTTTTAATTATGCTTGAGGAAACGGAGTAAGAAAAAAGAAATGTACTCAGTTATTTCTGTTTGACTTTCAATGTATGTATTTCCATGTTTTTTGTTTAATGTAGTTTTGTAATTTTGCCTCTTAGGGGTTTCGGAGGCCTGTTGTTCTATACTTTTATGCACCTGTGTTTGGGTTGTTGGGCTAGGCTTGTATGTGCGTTCTCCTTTTGTATTTCTGTACTTAAGGTTGTGTGGATGTGCCTATGTTTTATGTTATTTCTATTGTGTGCTATTAATGACATGTTCTGTTTTTTGTGGTACATACTGTCCCCGTTTCTGGGTTCTTTTTTTTTTTTTTGTGCCTTGTGTCATGTGTTTTCTTTCTTGGTTTTTGTTGGGTATGTTTAGTGTATCCGTGGTTTACTTCCTTTGTTATATTGTCCTGTGTATGTTCATAACTTGTTTGTTCGGCGGGTGTCTGTTTTGTACATTGTGTATTCTTTTATAAAAAAAAAAAAAAAAAAAAAAAAAAAAAAAAAAAAAAAAAAAAAAAAAACTTACGGGCTATTCATGCCCGTGCCACCTCTTGGGTGGCTTAATCTTCATCAATCAATCACTGTACGGGCTCACCATAGCCCGTGCTACTTGGAACTTTTTGTTCCCAGTAGCTGAATCTATAACAACAACAACACTGTAAAATGAGAAAAAGTTACAGCCCAGCTCCTGTGTCAGGTAAATCCACTACGGGCTCACCATAGCCCGTACTACTTGGAACTTTTTGTTCCAAGTAGCGAATCTTAAACAATAACAACAACACTGTAAAATTGTGCTGAAATGGTGCTGAAGCGGTGTGTTACCCGCGGACATCTGGTGCTGAAGCGGTGTGTTACTCGTGGACACCTGGTGCTGAAGCGGTGTGTTACCCGTGTGTAACGAACAGAGACTGACTCCTCTGTGTCACTGACTCGACTTGTAATGACCTCAACGCCACTTACTCTGTCTTAACTGGCCGTTAATTAACGGTTATGTTGTTCACTGTTGTTCCTTACACTGACCCTAGTCGAGTGATGCCTTGTAATACCTGGTGTTTGATCACCACCTGCCACAGGGCTCAAGGAAACACTACTAATCCCAGTTACGGTATTCTTTTCACTCCTACCACCTTCCCTAATACCCATGTAATTGACTGCGGGAAAGGGCCAGTCAAGCGCAACATAAATCAAGAATGTGGATCCCAAGTTTGAAAAGGATTGATATAGTTTATGTTAAGTTCGGCTTAGACCAAACTAGGGAGAATATCTTTAATATATGAGAGTGCTTGTAGGACCACATGGAAACTAACAACACATAACACAGGATCGTGGATTCAGAGAACAATACTTGTGAAAGGAATTAGTTAAACAGCCTAAAATAATTAAATTCATTTATTGACACAAATTATGAAATATCCTATCGTATCCTGGCCGGGGAGGATTGACTGGGGTGCAAATCCTTAACTGCAGCCTCTGTTTAACTCAACAGTAAAATGGGAACCGGGTTGTAAAAACAATTCTTCGTGGGGGTCGTATTCCAGTGACCATAGGATTAAGGACTTGCCCGAAACGCTACGTGTACTAGTGGCTGTACAAGAATGTAACAACTCTTGTATAAATAAATGAAAAAATGTGATCCTATCTAATGTTCCTAAACCTTGAGGCACTGATATGAAGCTAACTCGCACTTGAACTCAAACAGAATTTACCTTTTTTTTTTTGAGATATATACAAGAGTTGTTACATTCTTGTACAGCCACTAGTACACGTAGCGTTTCGGGCAGGTCCCTGGAATACGATCCCCGCCGCGAAGAATCGTTGTTACAACCAAGTACACATTTTACTGTTGCGTTAAACACAGGCTACAGTTAAGGATTTGCGCCCAGTAAATCCTCCCCGGCCAGGATACGAACCTTAACATGTTTACAAACTGCCAGCCGATGTTCTGGCTGTTCTTCCTCTGGAGATGATGTTACTCTAGCCTCACCAAGATCACACTGATCTCGCCTTAGGTTCAAGCAAGCTACCCAAGCCTACTCACTAGCCTCACTGATTGCCATCAACCATTAACAAGACTAGAACCATTATCAAAGCTAACTCCTATTCACTTGGCCCACTTAAGGGGACTGAATCTTTACACTTAAACGATGATAAATTACATAGGTACGTAAATACGGGTAATTATTAAATACAACATAGAATAGTAACCTGGATTTCTTTACATAAAGGAATTAAAAACAAAGGGAGGCTGTGGCAGTCTTGCCTAATCACACCAGCGCTAGTTCCTTGGGAAGAACCTGTTCTAGACTCAGGTCTAAGGTTCACTCTGACTCTAAACTAGATCGTGTCCCTGTGTACCATACAATATATTTCAAACACGCTTATATCATATCTGTATCAACAGCTGAACTGTTACCCGCGGACACCTGGTGCTGAAGCGGTGTATTACCCGCGGACACCTGGTGCTGAAGCTGTGTATTACCCGCGGACACCTGGTGCTGAAGCGGTATATTGCCCGTGGAGACTTGGTGCTGAAGCGGTGTGTTGTGACTCCTCATAATCGGAGGAGGAATTCCGACACACCTCCTCAATAACTTGTCATAAATAAGCCAAGGTTTACAAAAGACGGTGATAGATTGAGGTCTTGGAGCAGCGAGGACCGCCGGCAGCAGCAGCAGCAGCAGCAGCAGCAGCAGGAGCCAACAGACACAAGGGAACTGTACCTTCATGGTGTGTAGGACAGCAGCAGTGTGGCTCAGGTTGTAAAGTGTAGAGCGCTCTGGCGGCTACGGGCTCACCATAGCCCATGCTACTTGGAGCTTTTGGTTCCCAGTAGCTGAATCTAAAGCAACAACAACAACAACAACAACAGCTCTGGCAGTGTGTGCGCTCCTGCTGAAGTCACAGGCAATAATGTGCACCTTGCTCTCCGGCTGCACCCTGTCCACACCACTGATACTTGCCACTGTTCACCACCTCAGAGTATATGTACTCGCCTACCTGTCCCTGTAACACCATAAATGTGTTTTATTTAATATGTTTTACATACAACGAGAGTCAGTCACACATGATATTGAAGGCGCCAACAGTCACACTATAAGCATTCAAAGTCACGCCTTTCAGGTGCCAATTGTTCAAAAGTTGAGAGTGAACAGGTTGTGTGAAGTGACCTTGCTTTCTGCTAAGTCGATAATTGCAGCCGGTTGGCCGTGTCTGTCCATCAGACAAGCCGCGGTCTAGGTGAGGTAGGTAGATAGCCAGAAGCTAACTATTTGGTAAGCGAAGCTTAGCTCCCAGTTCCCCCATAAATACCCATAGAACTGTTCATTTGAGACATTGTGAAGGACAGCGAGATATAGACCGCTACTCGAGAGAGGCCAGCAGCCAGTCAAGACCTGTCGAGCCGGGTGGGGACTCTGCCAGCCGTAACCACTCCTTCCCCCTTCTCTACCAACTTAGCCTCCGAGACCTCGGTCAGTGAACGTATTGTTGGAAATTTCCAAAACCTAATTACTAATCACTAATACAATAGGATGTATTTCCTGTACTAGGCGTCATAATCATCCAATACTTAATTACTAACATTTAGTCCTTTAAGAAGTAATTCTTGTACTAACCATTATATTTTACTAATACTACTACCAGTAGTGTAAAAACATTAGTTCATATTATGCTGCGTAGTAAGTATACTAAAAGTTTCCTAGTATTAATAGCTGTGTTGCGTCACATCACGGTTACATTCGCCAGAATTGAGTTAAATTCTCGTTTATTTCAGCATTCTTTTACAAGAATTTCTAGCTAATAATATTCACCATTAATCCAGTAATATCACATTGTTGAGGTCATTATATACAGTTATGAACTGTTATCACAGGGCATTCACGGAGGAATAAATTTCCCCTTTAGTTTTTTCGTCTATGTGAACTTCGTTTCATATTAATTGTTACATAGCAAGAATTTAATTAATATTAGCTTTCTTATGATAAACCTTGTCTTTATTACCTTACATCATTTAGCGAGTGACAGTAGAATTTTCCTCCGCTCCCACACTCCAGGTTACCGCGCATGCGCAAGCAGAGAAGGGAGAGAAGTAGCCATTATTCACAGAGAGAAAGTGTTTGAAAGCTCGCTGGAATTACCACCTCATTATTGCGTTATCCTTACTACTGCAGACGTTAGAGTGACGGAGTAGCTTCATCATTTCTCAGACACCCATATCGGCAACTAAGTTCCTATTTACTTTTATTGTTTGTGATCACAATATAATATTAGACAAGACGGTTGTCGTCATACTGCACGGCCAATAAAAATAACAAGTGAGTTTTATTTCAGGGTGCTCTCACCTTTCATTTAGAAACACGTGTGGTATTATATCTTTTTAGATAGTATGTACATACTGCTCGTATTTCAGCCTGTGTCTTATTGGCAAGAAAGGAGATAAGCCTCTGCCTCAGTCACGTGTCAAGGGGACAGCACGCTGGGCATGTGATCCTGAGGTCCCGGGCTCGATCCCGGGCGCCGGCGAGAAACCATGGGCAGAGTTTCTTTTACCCTGATGCTCCTGTTACCTAGCAGTAAATAGGTACCTAGACGTTAGTCCGCTGTCACGGGCTGCTTCCTGGGGGTGGAGGCCTGGTCGTGGACCGGGCCGCGGAGACACTAAAAAGCCCCGAAATCAACTCAAGATAACATCAAGATAACGTGTTCCTAGGATATCCTGATTCAACGAGTTTCAGTGACGATCATTGCCAGACGATGCTGCTATTTTATCATACAGCTAAACTGTTATTTCGTTCTTGTAGTTTCATAGAACATTTCCTTGATTAATTGAATGATTTCTTATGATATGATTTATAATTTATACATGCATTTCTTATTTCATTATTTATGAAATGTATTATACATTACATGCATTATATAAACTAACCTTACAGAATAATCCCCAAAGTCAGCGATGGGAAGCAACTTTAGAATTTATAGAATCTACAGTTCATTTATTGCATATTAATAGAATCTTTAGAATTTAAATGCATTTAATCATAGAGATCCATAAGCCACTGGTTCTCTCATTTAGAATATAATTCTGGTCCTTCGAGCATATTATAATTATACTTTATTTTATTAGCATATAATCTAGAGCCAGATTTCCCCACACGTATATTGTGATTTCAACTTAGGTGTTGTGTGATGTTTAGGAGCAGTCAGCCGTAGTGCTATCAATTTCTTGTGTGGTGACTCAAGTTTGTGTATTACTGGTCACATATTGAACAATACTTGTGAAAGGAATTAGTTAAACAGCCTAAAATAATAAAAATTCGTTTATTGACACAAATTATTAAATATTCTATCGTATCCTGGCCGGGGAGGATTTACTGGGTGCAAATCCTTAACGGTAGCCTCTGTTTAACTCAACAGTAAAATGGGAACCTGATTGTAAAATAGATGCTTCGCGGGGGTCGTATTCCAGGGACCATAGGATTAAGGACTTGCCCGAAACGCTACGCGTACTAGTGGCTGTACAAGAATGTAACAACTCTTGTATATATAAATAAAAAATGTAATCCTATCTAATGTTCCTAAATCTTGAGGCACTGATATGAAGCTAACTCGCACTTGAACTCAAACAGAATTTACCTTAACATGTCTACAAACTGCCAGCCGATGTTCTGGCTGTTCTTCCTCTGGAGATGATGTTACTCCAGCCTCACCAAGATCACACTGATCTCGCCTTAGGTTCAAGCAAGCTACCCAAGCCTACTCACTAGCCTCACTGATTGCCATCAACCATTAACGAGACTAGAACCATTATCAAAGCTAACTCCTATTCACTTGGCCCACTTAAGGGGACTGAATCTTTACACTTAAACGATGATAAATTACATAGGTACGTAAATACGGGTAATTATTAAATACAACATAGAATAGTAACCTGGATTTCTTTACATACAGGAATTAAAAACAAAGGGAGGCTGTGGCAGTCTTGCCTAATCACACCAGCGCTAGTTCCTTGGGAAGAACCTGTTCTAGACTCAGGTCTAAGGTTCACTGACTCTAAACTAGATCGTGTCCCTGTGTACCATACAATATATTTCAAACACGCTTATATCATATCTGTATCAACAGCTGAACTGTTACCCGAAGACACCTGGTGCTGAAGCGGTGTATTACCCGCGGACACCTGGTGCTGAAGAGGTGTGTTACCCGCGGACACCTGGTGCTGAAGCGGTGTATTACCCGCGGACACCTGGTGCTGAAGCGGTGTATTACCCGCGGACACCTGGTGCTGAAGCGGTGTATTACCCGCGGACACCTGGTGCTGAAGCGGTGTATTACCAGCGGACACCTGGTGCTGAAGCGGTGTATTACCAGCGGACACCTGGTGCTGAAGCGGTGTATTACCCGCGGACATCTGGTGCTGAAGCGGTGTATTACCAGCGGACACCTGGTGCTGAAGCGGTGTATTACCCGCGGACACCTGGTTCTGAAGCGGTGTATTACCCGCGGACACCTGGTGCTGAAGAGGTGTATTACCCCGCGGACACCTGGTGCTGAAGCGGTGTATTACCCGCGGACACCTGGTGCTGAAGCGGTGTATTACTCGCGGACACCTGGCGCTGAAGCGGTGTGTTACCAGCGGACACCTGGTGCTGAAGCGGTGTGTTACCCGCGGACACCTGGTGCTGAAGCTGTGTATTACCCGTGGACACCTGCTGCTGAAGCTGTATATTACCCGTGGACACCTGCTGCTGAAGAGGTATATTACCAGCGGACACCTGGTGCTGAAGCGGTATATTGCCCGCGGAGACTTGGTGCTGAAGCGGTGTGTTGTGCCTCCGATTCCTCCTCCTATTAATCGGAGGAGGAATTCTGACACACCTCCTCAATAACTTGTCATAAATACGCCGACGATTACATAAGACGGTGATAGAGTAAGGTCTTGGAGCAGCGAGGACCGCCGGCAGCAGCAGCAGCAGCAGGAGGCAGCAGACACACGGGAACTGTACCTTCATGGTGTGTAGGACAGCAGCAGTGTGGCTCAGGTTGTATAGTGTAGAGCGCTCTGGCGGCTACGGGCTCACCATAACCCATGCTACTTGGAGCTTTTGGTTCCCAGTAGCTGAATCTAAAGCAACAACAACAACAACAACGGCTCTGGCAGTGTGTGCGCTCCTGCTGAAGTCACAGGCAATAATGTGCACCTTGCTCTCCGGCTGCACCCTGCCCCCACCACTGATACTTGCCACTGTTCACCACCTCAGAGTATATGTACTCGCCTACCTGTCCCTGTAACACCATAAATGTGTTTTATTTAATATGTTTTACATACAACGAGAGTCAGTCACACATGATATTGAAGGCGCCAACAGTCACACTATAAGCATTCAAAGTCACGCCTTTCAGGTGCCAATTGTTCAAAAGTTGAGAGTGAACAGGTTGTGTGAAGTGACCTTGCTTTCTGCTAAGTTGATAATTGCAACCGGTTGGCCGTGTCTGTCCATCAGACAAGCCGCGGTCTAGGTGAAGTAGGTAGATAGCCAGAAGCTAACTATTTGGTAAGCGAAGCTTAGCTCCCAGTTCCCCCATAAATACCCATAGAACTGTTCATTTGAGACATTGTGAAGGACAGCGAGATATAGACCGCTACTCGAGAGTGGCCAGCAGCCAGTCAAGACCTGTCGAGCCGGGTCGGGACTCAGCCAGCCGTAACCACTCCTTCCCCCTTCTCTACCAACTTAGCCTCCGAGACCTCGGTCAGTGAACGTATTGTTGGAAATTTCCAAAACCTAATTACTAATCACTAATACAATAGGATGTATTTCCTGTACTAGGCGTCATAATCATCCAATACTTAATTACTAACATTTAGTCCTTTAAGAAGTAATTCTTGTACTAACCATTATATTTTACTAATACTACTACCAGTAGTGTAAAAACATTAGTTCATATTATGCTGCGTAGGAAGTATACTAAAAGTTTCCTAGTATTAATAGCTGTGTTGCGTCACATCACGGTTACATTCGCCAGAATTGAGTTAAATTCTCGTTTATTTCAGCATTCTTTTACAAGAATTTCTAGCTAATAATATTCACCATTAATCCAGTAATATCACATTGTTGAGGTCATTATATACAGTTATGAACTGTTATCACAGGGCATTCACGGAGGAATAAATTTCCCCTTTAGTTTTTTCGTCTATGTGAACTTCGTTTCATATTAATTGTTACATAGCAAGAATTTAATTAATATTAGCTTTCTTATGATAAACCTTGTCTTTATTACCTTACATCATTTAGCGAGTGACAGTAGAATTTTCCTCCGCTCCCACACTCCAGGTTACCGCGCATGCGCAAGCAGAGAAGGGAGAGAGAAGTAGCCATTATTCACAGAGAGAAAGAGTGTTTGGAAGCTCGCTAGAATTACCACCTCGTTATTGCGTTATCCTTACTACTGCAGACGTTAGAGTGACGGAGCAGCTTCATCATTTCTCAGACACCCATATCGGCAACTAAATTCCTATTTACTTTTATTGTTTGTGATCACAATATAATATTAGACAAGACGGTTGTCGTCATACTGCACGGCCAATAAAAATAACAAGTGAGCTTTATTTCAGGGTGCTCTCACCTTTCATTTAGAAACACGTGTGGTATTATATCTTTTTAGATAGTATTTACATACTGCTCGTATTTCAGCCTGTGTCTTATTAGCAAGAAAGGAGATAAGCCTCTGCCTCAGTCACGTGTCAAGGGGACAGCACGCTGGGCATGTGATCCTAAGGTCCCGGGCTCGATCCCGGGCGCCGGCGAGAAACCATGGGCAGAGTTTCTTTTACCCTGATGCTCCTGTTACCTAGCAGTAAATAGGTACCTAGGAGTTAGTCAGCTGTCACGGGCTGCTTCCTGGGGTGGAGGCCTGTTCGAGGACCGGGCCGCGGGGACACTAAAAGCCCCGAAATGAACTCAAGATAACATCAAGATAACGTGTTCCTAGGATATCCTGATTCAACGAGTTTCAGTGACGATCATTGACAGACGATGCTACTATTTTATCATACAGCTAAACTGTTATTTCATTCTTGTAGTTTCATAGAACATTTCCTTGATTAATTGAATAATTTCTTATATGATTTATAATTTATACATGCATTTCTTATTTCATTATTTATGAAATGTATTATACATTACATGCATTATATAAACTAACCTTACAGAATAATCCCCAAAGTCAGCGATGGGAAGCAACTTTAGAATTTATAGAATTTACAGTTCATTTATTGCATATTAATAGAATCTTTAGAATTTAAATGCATTTAATCATAGAGATCCATAAGCCACTGGTTCTCTCATTTAGAATATAATTCTGGTCCTTCGAGCATATTATAATTATACTTTATTTTATTAGCATATAATCTAGAGCCAGATTTCCCCACACGTATATTGTGATTTCAACTTAGGTGTTGTGTGATGTTTAGGAGCAGTCAGCCGTAGTGCTATCAATTTCTTGTGTGGTGACTCAAGTTTGTGTATTTCTGGTGATATATTGAACAATAGTTGTGAAAGGAATTAGTTAAACAGCCTAAAATAATAAAAATTCGTTTATTGACACAAATTATGAAATATTCTATCGTATCCTGGCCGGGGAGGATTTACTGGGTGCAAATCCTTAACGGTAGCCTCTGTTTAACTCAACAGTAAAATGGGAACCTGATTGTAAAATAGATGCTTCGCGGGGGTCGTATTCCAGGGACCATAGGATTAAGGACTTGCCCGAAACGCTACGCGTACTAGTGGCTGTACAAGAATGTAACAACTCTTGTATATATAAATAAAAAACGTAATCCTATCTAATGTTCCTAAATCTTGAGGCACTGATATGAAGCTAACTCGCACTTGAACTCAAACAGAATTTACCTTAACATGTCTACAAACTGCCAGCCGATGTTCTGGCTGTTCTTCCTCTGGAGATGATGTTACTCCAGCCTCACCAAGATCACACTGATCTCGCCTTAGGTTCAAGCAAGCTACCCAAGCCTACTCACTAGCCTCACTGATTGCCATCAACCATTAACGAGACTAGAACCATTATCAAAGCTAACGCCTATTCACTTGGCCCACTTAAGGGGACTGAATCTTTACACTTAAACGATGATAAATTACATAGGTACGTAAATACGGGTAATTATTAAATACAACATAGAATAGTAACCTGGATTTCTTTACATAGAGGAATTAAAAACAAAGGGAGGCTGTGGCAGTCTTGCCTAATCACACCAGCGCTAGTTCCTTGGGAAGAACCTGTTCTAGACTCAGGTCTAAGGTTCACTGACTCTAAACTAGATCGTGTCCCTGTGTACCATACAATATATTTCAAACACGCTTATATCATATCTGTATCAACAGCTGAACTGTTTCCCGAAGACACCTGGTGCTGAAGCGGTGTATTACCCGCGGACACCTGGTGCTGAAGCTGTGTATTACTCGCGGACACCTGGTGCTGAAGCTGTGTATTACCCGCAGACACCTGGTGCTGAAGCGTTGTGTGACCCGCGGACACCTGGTGCTGAAGCGGTGTATTACCCGCGGACACCTGGTGCTGAAGCGGTGTATTACCCGCGGACACCTGGTGCTGAAGCGGTGTATTACCCGCGGACACCTGGTGCTGAAGCGGTGTATTACCCGCGGACACCTGGTGCTGAAGCGGTGTATTACCCGCGGACACCTGGTGCTGAAGCGGTGTATTACCCGCGGACACCTGGTGCTGAAGCGGTGTATTACCCGCGAACACCTGGTGCTGAAGCTGTGTATTACTCGCGGGCACCTGGTGCTGAAGCGGTGTATTACCAGCGGACACCTGGTGCTGAAGCGGTGTGTTACCCGCGGACACCTGGTGCTGAAGCGGTGTATTACCAGCGGACACCTGGTGCTGAAGCGGTGTGTTACCCGCGGACACCTGGTGCTGAAGAGATGTGTTACCCGCGGACACCTGGTGCTGAAGCGGTGTATTACCCGCGGACACCTGGTGCTGAAGCGGTGTATTACCAGCGGACACCTGGTGCTGAAGCGGTGTATTACCCGCGGACACCTGGTGCTGAAGCGGTGTATTACCCGCGGACACCTGGCGCTGAAGCGGTGTATTACCCGCGGACACCTGGTGCTGAAGCGGTGTATTACCCGCGAACACCTGGTGCTGAAGCTGTGTATTACTCGCGGGCACCTGGTGCTGAAGCGGTGTATTACCAGCGGACACCTGGTGCTGAAGCGGTGTGTTACCCGCGGACACCTGGTGCTGAAGCGGTGTATTACCAGCGGACACCTGGTGCTGAAGCGGTGTGTTACCCGCGGACACCTGGTGCTGAAGAGATGTGTTACCCGCGGACACCTGGTGCTGAAGCGGTGTATTACCCGCGGACACCTGGTGCTGAAGCGGTGTATTACCAGCGGACACCTGGTGCTGAAGCGGTGTATTACCCGCGGACACCTGGTGCTGAAGCTGTGTATTACCCGCGGACACCTGGTGCTGAAGCGGAGTATTACCCGCGGACACCTGGTGCTGAAGCGGTGTATTACCAGCGGACACCTGGTGCTGAAGAGGTGTGTTACCCGCGGACACCTGGTGCAGAAGCGGTGTATTACCCGCGGACACCTGGTGCTGAAGCGGTGTATTACCCGCGGACACCTGGTGCTGAAGCTGTGTATTACTCGCGGACACCTGGTGCTGAAGCGGTGTATTACTCCCGGACACCTGGTGCTGAAGCGGTGTGTTACCAGCGGACACCTGGTGCTGAAGCTGTGTATTACCCGCGGACACCTGGTGCTGAAGCAGTTACCCGCGGACACCTGGTGTTGAAGCGGTGTGTTACCAGCGGACACCTGGTGCTGAAGCGGTGTGTTACCCGTGGACACCTGGTGCTGAAGCGGTGTGTTACCCTCGGACACCTGGTGCTGAAGCGGTGTGTTACCCGCGGACACCTGGTGTTGAAACGGTGTTACCCGTGGACACCTGGTGCTGAAGCGGTGTATTATGCATTACCCGCGGACACCTGGTGCTGAAGCGGTGTATTACCCGCGGACACCTCGTACTGAAGCGGTGTGTTACTCGCGGACACCTGGTGCTGAAGCGGTGTATTACCCGCGGACACCTGGTACTGAAGCGGTGTGTTACCCGCGGACACCTGGTGCTGAAGCGGTGTGTTACCCGCGGACACCTGGTGTTGAAGCGGTGTGTTACCCGCGGACACTTTTTGCTGAAGCGGTGTGTTACCCGTGGACACCTGGTGTTGAAGCGGTGTGTTACCCGCGGACACTTTTTGCTGAAGCGGTGTGTTACCCGTGGACACCTGGTGCTGAAGCGCTGTGTTACCCGTGGACATCTGGTGCTGAAGCGGTGTGTTACCCGCGGACACCTGGTGCTGAAGCGTTGTGTTACCCGTGGACACCTGGTGCTGAAGCGGTGTGTTACCCGCGGACACCTGGTGCTGAAGAGGTGTGTTATCCGCGGACACCTGGTGCTGAAGCGGTGTGTTACCCGTGGACACCTGGTGCTGAAGCGCTGTGTTACCCGAGGACATCTGGTGCTGAAGCGGTGTGTTACCCGAGGACATCTGGTGCTGAAGCGGTGTGTTACCCGCGAATCGGTAGACCCCATCTGTAACCTGTATTTCTATAAAGGACGAGGATAGAGAAAGGACTGGGCTGCGGGTCTGGGGCAGCGAGGACCGCCGGCAGCAGCAGCAGCAACAGCAGCAGCAGCAGGAGGCAGCGGACACACGGGAACTGTACCTTCATGGTGTGTAGGACAGCAGCAGTGTGGCTCAGAGTGTCAGGTGTGGAGCGGTCCGGCAGTGTGTGCGCTCCTGCTGAAGTCAGAGGCAATAATGCGCACCTTGCTCTCCGCCTTATACTTTATATACTTCCCCACACCCTGTCCCCCCACCACTGATACCTGCCACTGTTCACCACCTCAGAGTATATATTCTCCTCAACCACTTGTAGTAGGAAGGAAAGGGATCTAGCAGGAAAATTCTTTCCTATTTCGACTATATAACACTTGGAAGGGATAACACTGACATTTTGAGATGTATAACATTAGAAGCTATTGACAGTCATCTTCAAATTCTCAAACCGACTGAATCCTATGCCTTTACTGATGGCTCTGTGCAGTTAGGCACTGGTAGAACAGGTTGTGCATACATTAAAACATTGATTGTAACCGTGATATATATGTGCTTCAGCCTACAGTTTAGACCTATTGTCTTATGTATGACCCTCTGTCCTGCGTGACAGTGAATACTAGCATTATCCTCACTTTAATAAGACCTATCAAAATCCTCAAATTAGGGAAAATTGTAATTAATTTTGTCAATAAAGATGTTAATAATAATAATTGGAAGGGGTCAGGATAAGGATTTGGGCGTGGACGGGGGAAGAATTGGAGCCCATCGACTAGGACGGGTGTGGATTGAACGTCGACCTGCATGAAGCGAGACTCACTCTACCGTCCAGCCCAAGTGGTTGGGCTTCCACTTGTATTGGTGTGAGTGAAAATATATAGTGAAGATGAGGACACGTGATGATCGTGTATAGTGAAGATGGTGACACGTGATGGTCGTGTATAGTGAAGATGGTGACACGTGATGGTCGTGTATAGTGAAGATGGTGACACGTGATGGTCGTGTATAGTGAGGATGGTGACACGTGATGGTCGTGTATAGTGAAGATAGTGACACGTGATGGTCGTGTATAGTGAGGATGGTGACACGTGATGGTCGTGTATAGTGAAGATAGTGACACGTGATGGTCGTGTATAGTGAGGATAGTGACACGTGATGGTCGTGTATAGTGAAGATGGTGACACGTGATGGTCGTGTATAGTGAAGATGGTGACACGTGATGGTCGTGTATAGTGAAGATGGTGACACGTGATGGTCGTGTATAGTGAAGATGGTGACACGTGATGGTCGTGTATAGTGAGGATGGTGACACGTGATGGTCGTGTATAGTGAGGATGGTGACACGTGATGGTCGTGTATAGTGAGGATGGTGACACGTGATGGTCGTGTATAGTGAGGATGGTGACACGTGATGGTCGTGTATAGTGAGGATGGTGACACGTGATGGTCGTGTATAGTGAAGATGGTGACACGTGATGGTCGTGTATAGTGAAGATGGTGACACGTGATGGTCGTGTATAGTGAAGATGGTGACACGTGATGGTCGTGTATAGTGAAGATGGTGACACGTGATGGTCGTGTATAGTGAAGATAGGGCCTCCCTCACGCGAACAAAGCTGGGTATCCCTGCAAGTATTATCATATGTTTTCCCCGACATGAGGAGCCTCTGGGTAAACCCTAAAGTTAGGGTAAACCGTGCTGCAGGTCACGGTGAGTTCGATCGATCTCCTCCCGTGATTCCCCTGGGAGCATCCCGCCCTCAGCTCGACATGCCGCCGGCTTCCTGGCCTCGTCGAGGCCACAAGAGAGGGTGGCCCTTAGGTAAATTCAAGTAAATATTCAAATGTAACACTTATAGGGTTCGTTCTAGACTCACATTCAGGAATTCCTGGTTCAAATCCCGGGTAGGACAGAAATAGTTGGACGCCTTTGATCCTGTAAACCATAACTACCTCCTACTTCAACTTATCATTATGGAATCCGAGGCCTCGCTCTGAACTATATTCAATTATTACACAGAAATCACAATAGCGTGATGCATCAATGAACAAATTTATATTCAATCATATCTTAATTACAGACACCAATATATAGCCATCAGAACATTACCTCCCCCACTCTACCAAGATTGCAAATAACGAATTTAAAAAAAAGGTCCACTCATGGATGTCGACCAACAAACTCACACTAAACATACGAAAGGCCTAAAACATTTTATATGGGAAGTAAATCATCAAACCAAATTCGCCATCAGATAGACAGTGTCAACATTAATAGTAAATATGACACAAAGTTCCTGAGCCTATACATAAAGAGATCGAAATTGAGCACCCACACACAACACATTACCTCAAGCCCATCATCACTCAGCAAAAGTCTACTATCAGAACTATAACAAACTGTTCGTTGTCTTCAGACAATACACAGCCCCTCTGTTTAAGTCCCTAAACATGATAAACATACATTCACTCAACACATTCTCATGTGCCATTTACATGTACACAACCTTATTCCTCGATTCTAATATATATTAGAATCGAAAAAACAATATTAATATATTTATTTATATATGATAATATAAATCAAATATTATAAGGTTTGCAACTCTTATTATATTGTATCAAAATAATTGTTATTTAAGGAAAGTTAGCTACGTACATACATACAAGAAGAGTGTAGGGTGTACAGGCAGGGCGTGTTCCTACATCTACTGATGTGCACAGCGTTGCAGCCATCATGTGGAAAACAAAAAACTAAAGAACATGAAACTAATTGAGATCAAGAGCAAAACTGAATTGAAGTAGACAAATATAAAAAAAAATCAATTATTACATGGTGAATGGAACAGCAAAAATTGTAACAGTAACAATTGTCTCTAAAATTGTAATTGTTACATATAGTAATTTACACGGAGTATAAATAGAAGGAATTCTATTTGTTATTAAATTTTAACAAGATAGAAGTCGGCAGCATTACAGATTTAGTCATTATTGTTCAGTTTGAGCAAGAGATAAGTTGACTTTTAGGAACTAAGGTAGGTTACATAGAGTTGTGTAGGTAGTACTTGGACTCTCATTTAAACTGGTTGAGAGAGACAGTTTTTGACGTGATTAGAAAGGTTATTGAACATTGTGGGGACCTTTTATTTGCTGGACTATCAAATAGATATTTTCTTCTAGTGTGGTGCCCATGTATTCTATTACACCCTCTAGGAAGCGATTAAGGTCGGGATTTGCATTGAAGTTCAGTGTTTAATACATATACATATACCGTACACTTGAGAGGATGCGTAGTGGCTAAATATCTAACATATCCCCGGTGATATCTATCGGGAATATGTAACATATATCTAATACATCCTCTGGTGGGTCCCAGTAGTACAATCGCGTTCGTTCTCGACTCACAATCGAGAATATGGGGCGGGACAGAAATAATTGGGCGTTTTTCCTGGCACCTAATGCCACTGTTCACCTAGCAGTACATGGCCACCCAGGAGTTAGTGAGCTTGCTGTGGGGTGGTATCCTGGGGAGGGTCAGTAATTCTACCCTGGGGGTGGGGGAGCTTGCTGTGGGGTGGTATCCTGGGGAGGGTCAGTAATTCTACCCTGGGGGTGGGGGAGCTTGCTGTGGGGTGGTATCCTGGGGAGGGTCAGTAACTCTACCCTGGGGGTGGGAGAGTAAGCCTAACGTGTACTGTATGTATAAACTGGCTGCTTGTCCCCCGACACAATAAATGATTTATTAATTATATTCAAAGACTTAAGTAATGGAGGCCGAATGCTGCTTGGGGCTTGAGTTTGTTACTGTTCTAATTGCTGATTTGTATTGAGTAATTAGGGATCGTAGATGATTTTGGGTAGTAGAACCCAAAGCACAATTACCATAGATGAGATAAGTATAGATAAGCGAGTAATAGAGCGTCACCAGGGCAGGACGAGGTTCATAATATCAACCCGTTCTCACACAAGACAGTACATATATGACTAGTGCTTAAAGTCAATATGTGGAATGTGATTTAGTACATATGTGATATATTCCCAGTTAACTTTTTTACCAAGGCTCAAACTCTTCCTCACGTACCAATTTACGTCTCACAGTACTCGTCCATCAACGTAGATAGCTGAATAGTCGTGATTGGTTCAATTATAACGAAAATTGTAGTTTTCAGGTCCCACATGGGTTGTGAAATTCACCTACTATTGTCCATGCTCTTATAATATTACAGATCAGCTACATCCTATTGAAGGCTCGTAGTTTTGTTTTGAGAAATATTAGTTGTTCTTAGTAAATTATAATAAGCACAATAAATTATTACATAGAATAAGTGCTTCACCAATCAATATTATATACCATAGTTTGTGCTTTAGAAATCTTTAAAGAATGTTTTGTAGGAACGCTAACAGAAAACGATGTTATGTTGGAATGTATATAGGGTAAACTACTGCAAACAGGATGGTATGGTGTGGATTATTGGAAACTATAGGATTAGTATAGGGTCCACTACCACCTGTTAGGTGGGTAAGGGGTCCAATAACACCCGCAGGATGAGTATGGGGGTCACATCCACCCACAGGAATGGTATGGGGATCACTTCCACCCACAGGAAGGGTATGGGATCCAATACCATCCACTGGATGTGTATTGCGTCCACTACCACCGACAGGATGGGTATGGGCTCACAACCACCCACAGGATAGGTATGGGGTCCAATACCACCCACAGGATGAGTATGGGGTCCACTATAACCCACAGGATGGGTATGGGGCTCCAACCACCCACAAAATAAGTATGGGGTACAATAACACCCACTGGATATGTATGGCATCCATTGCCCCCACAGGATGACTATAGGGTACAGTATCGCCCACAGGATTAGTATATAGGGTTCACTGCCGCCCACAGAGTCGGTATGGGGTCCACCGCCACCCACAGGGTCGGTATGGGGTCCACTACCGCCCACAGGGTCGTTATGAAGTCAACTACCGTCCACAGGGTCGGTAGGGGTCCACTACCGCCCACAGGGTCGGCAGGGGGTCCACTGCCACCCACTGGGTCGGTAGGGGGTCCACTGCCGCCCACAGGATCGATAGGGGGTCCACTGCCGCCCACAGGGTCGATATGGGGGGGTCCACTACCGCCCACAGGATCGATAGGGGGTCCACTGCCGCCCACAGGGTCGGTAGGGGGTCCACTGCCGCCCACACGTTCGGTAGGGGTCCACTGCC